TTGACGTCAAATTGATATTATTTTGACTTTTCTGTTCTCCTTGGGTAGTATTTCTCATGCATCCTGATTACGCTTACGGGGCTATGGGTTGTCCACCACGTGTTCCACCCAATAAAGAAGTGGTATTTGTTGTTCATTTGATCGATTATGTTGATGACGACGGCTGCGCACAAACATATCAAAATCTCAACGAAGAGGAGAAACGGTTTAGCTGTGTGAAACCGTTTGTGATGCATATGTTTGCGACTGCCAAAGGCTATTGCAATAAATACAACTACAAACAGGCGATACGAGAGTAAATAGCTTTTACAAGATTATGATGTTTCTGCAAACATGTGGTTGTATATGTTAAATACACTCTTTTTTTGCAGATACAGAAAAATTATTGATCGTTGTATAATATTGTAATACATTAATGATTATAAACTTAAAAAATTACAAAAATAAAAATCAGGTCATATACTAGGCTTCCTTGACATCGCAATTTTAAAGGATAGTAATTTCATGACTTACTCACTTACTTTGGAGGCAGTCAAATTAAACAATGAGGCCGAAGAAAAAGAAATAAATGAGCAACTTTCACGAGCCTGTACTAACCTTGGAATTTGTTACAACAGGGAAAACTTTCCTCTTAAAGCATGTATGATCTTACATCGAGTGCCAATACCATCAGCTAAAACCCATTATCAGTATGTTCTATTCTTACGGATTTAATTACTCATGTATAAATATATAAAATTAGTATTACAATAAATTTGTTTTTTTCTAGTCACGGGAAAGCTTTGCTGACCATTGGAGAATACAATGCCTCAATGACGGAGTTACAGAAAGCTCTTGTATTAGATCCGCGGAACGAAACCATTAGAAAAGCTATTCAGACAGTAAGTTGAAAGATTTTTTACAAAAATTATTTTTTTACAAAAAGAATTTTCTTGTAACAATATTCTTTTTTTACAGACGAATGTAAAACAGCGTGAGTATCTGGAGATAGAGAAACGTTTGTTGAAAAATTGCTTCAAGTCCAAGGAAGAACAAAACAAAATTACTGAATTTCGAAAAG